ATAACCCCAAGAACTTAAAATATTTACTGATGAAGATTAAAGACCATAGCCTTTGGTATGGATTGCATCTCAATGTAAAGAAAACAAAAATCCTCACCACTGGACCAATAAACATTCTTATCAATGGAGAAAAGATTGAAGTTGTCAAGGACTTAATTTTTCTTGGATCAACCATCAACACTCATGGAAGCAGCAGTCAAGAAATCAAAGGACATATTGCATTAGGCATATATGTTGCATAAGACCTTTCTAAAAGATTTAAGAGCAAAGATGTCAGCTTATGGACTAAGGTGGTACCTGACCCAAGCCATGGTATTTTCAATAACCTCATATGCATGTGAAAGTTGAACAGAGAATAAGGAACATCGTAGAATTGATGCATAGGGTTTCCCAGGAGCGGCTGGTGAGCTTGAACTGCTGACTTTGAGGTTCAAACCAAACTTGCATTGCAGTCCAGCGCATTAGCTTGCAGTGCCACACCAGAACTCCTATACTGGGTCGCTATGAGTTGGAATCAACTCCACAGCACATAAGCACCATGTATCAAATGGGTTCCCTACTGAAGTTTTTGTTTAGTTGTTAAGTGCCATTGAGTCGGTTCTGACCCTACATAGGGTTTCCGGGGAACGACTGATGAGTTCGAACCGCCAACATTGCTGTTCAAACTGATTTTGCAATCCAGCATGTTAATCCACAGCACCATACCAGGGCTCCTTTTATTCAGTAGCCCACCTCAAAGACCACCCACCTGCGGGAAAAAACTCTGAGGTTGCTTCCACAACTTCCAGAATTGTACCCGGTAAAATGCGCTTCTGGTTGGCATGGATACCATTCTTTACCTCTTCCTCTACTGAGGCCAAGTTGAATTCAATGGGTTTAAAACATGCTGAGAAACCAAACAAGGTTCCAAAGTTAGAGGTTAGAACACCAGAAAGATGTTTTATTGACTATGCAAAAATATTCAAATGTGCTGATAGTAACAAATTATGGGAAACATTGTGAAGAATGGGAATTCTGGAATTGTGTACATGTGGAACCTGTACGTAGACCAAAATCAGTTGTTTGTCGAATCCTTGGGGACTGTGATTAGTTTAAGATCAGAAAAGACTCTGGAAGCCGACTTACGGAAGAACAGTGGCGCTCAAAAAAAAGTGGCACTCAGTGGTCTTAATTGACATCCCCACCATGTGTTAATGGACGTATACCCCAGAACTCCTGCTGCCCTGCGCACCCCTGTGCTCAGCTTCATTGTACTTACGGGAACAGACTAGGAAAGCAAACCATGTTCCCAAAGTCTGGTTTGACACATTACCCTCAATTCCAGCACTTTCCTCTGTAGTTCTTTTCCCCTTTCAGAGTCCTCAAAGTTAGTACCAAAGTCTCATCCTGCTCAAAGAGAATGGAAACCTTATTCAAAGGATGGATCCTGTCTCTAGACACATTTGGAGAACTGGACTATGTTATCCCTTCCGCAACCAGCCAGTTGGAGTTCTGTAAACAGATGTACTTTAACTCATTGATGGGCATTTTAAGTGTAAGGATAAAATCAGCATTAAATTTAACTTTCCCACTTGCCAAAAGGGAAAGAACTTTTTCTTCATACTTTTAGAAGACTACATGTAGTATTTCATTTACATAAAATTCTGATAAATAAAATTACACTGATGTAATTTTTACACAGACCTGTGGTTGCCAAGGAAGGGTAGAAGTTATTCTTATAAAACGATCAAATGAGACTATTTTTTAGCTTTTGGAAATGTTTTTGATCCTGGTTGACTGAGGTCATGGGTAAAACGAGAAACATTGAATCTTAGATCATATAAAAAAATATAAACTCAAATGAATCAAAAACCTAAATGTTAAGTACTAAAATTGTAAAGCTCTAAGAAAAGGTCAATCTTGTTAAGTGCTGCTGAGTCGGTTCTGATTCGTAGTGACCCAGTATAGTGTTTCTGAGGAACAAGTGATGAGTTCGAACCACTTACCTTCTGGTTCAAATTAAACTTGCAGTCCTGCGCTTATCCTACAGCATCACAAGTTGGTTCCTGTGTACAACAGAACCAAACACCACCCTGACCTGTGCTGTCCTCAGAACTGTTGTGATGAAGTCCACTGCAGGTCCCACTACGCTAATCCAGCAATCACACACAGCACTGTACCTCCAGATAGTCCTTAAGACGTTCTTTTTAATGTTGAATGTGACACCATCCCTCTTAAATGTCTCCTTGGCATAGTAAACCATATGAAGGTCAGATTCAAAATGTCTAATACCAGTCCATTTCAGGTCATCAATGCCAACGATATTAATCTTAATGCATTCAATTTCATTTTTGACAACTTCCACTTTTCCTAGATTCACACTTCATACAGTCCATGTTCTTGTTGCTAGGTGCTAACTGGGTTTAACCCATAGCAACACTATGAGCAACAGTATGAAACATGACCCAGACCTGCACCATCCTCAGCACTATTGCAGCCAGTGTTGATCCATCTCATCGAGGCTTCCATTTTCTCTAAAACTACCAAATGTGATGTCAGCTGCTCTCTTCAATTAAGTATTATCACAGAAGGTCCCAAAAGCTCTACTCCATCCAGATAATTAACATTGACTCTGACTTTGAGGAGACAGCTCTTCCCTAGTCAATTCTGATTATCTTTTAACCTGTTGTGAAATGCCGTCGAGTCAGTTACAACCCATAGCGACCCTGCATAGGGTTTCCAAGGAACAACTGGTGAGCTTGAACCTCCGACCTTGCAGTTCAAATGGCTTTGCAGTCTGGTGCATTAACCCACAGCGCCACACCAGGACGCCCTTTCAACCTGAGGGGCTCATATTCTGGAACTGTATCAATGTTCTACCAGTATTCAGAATTTTTACTGATTTTCAGAATACATCTCCAGATTCTTCTTCCTGGTCTTAGTCTGAAAGGTCAGCTGAAACTTGCCTACCATGGGTGACTCTGCTATTAGAGGAATCGGCAGCCTAGCTCCCAGCATCACCACACACAGGATATTTGACAGTTTTGTGGTGGTGAGTGTTCGTTGAATGCTTACCCCCTAACAGTCCTAGCACTGGGTGTAATTGCTTTCTCTCAGTTCAACCTCTTAACAACTCTATCAAGGTAGTACTATTACTATGTGCAATTTACAGAGGAGGAATCTCAAGTATAGGGATGTTAACTAGTCCACTTCAGTTATCCAGAGTTGGTGTTAAATGTGCTAGGGTAGGTTCTGACTCAGAGACCGTTTAGGGTTTCCAAGGAACGGCTGGTGAATTTGAACTGCCAACCTTGAAGTTCAAACAACCTTCTGGTCTAGTGCTTTTCCTATAGTTCTACACCAGGACTCCACCCTCACACTTAGGAGAAAGGAATGAAGCTTATATAGATTAATAACACACACAAAAATTACAGTACAGTAGTAATGGAACCTCTATTCACCCATGTGTGCAGCGAAGTCACTGGGAGGTAGTTAACAGGGGCAGTGACGGCAGCTGACTGACTCTCGATGCTTTACAGACGGTTGCCTCTGGGTGCTCAGAAAGCAAAAGTGGAAGCAGAGACCAGTAGGGAGAGCATCTCATTCCAGGATCCGAGAAAAAGCAAGTGGTGGGTAGGACCGGGGAAGGAGCTACTGATCGGATCAGAACATTCAGACTCAAGACCTTTTCAAACTCTGACCCAGAGGAAATGCTGACGAGTTGACTGTGATGGGAAGGAAAGTGGATCAAGGAAGCTGCCGTTGATATTTCATTTCTTAACAGACAACCCTCAGAGATGCGGCAGGTTTGGATCCCAGAGCACCACAATAAAGCAAGTCACACGAACGTCTTGGTTCCCGCATATGAAAGCTATGTTAGTACGACACTGTTGTCTATTAACAGCACAAGTGCATTATGAAAGAGTTTGAAATACTTGGTGAATGGCCACAATGAGCACACGCTATTGGGCAAACAGCGCTGACAGACTCACTCAACACAGGGTTGCAAGAAACCTTTACTTTGTAATAAAAAATCTGGGAGCACAATAAGCTAAAATGTATCTTTAAGTGCCAGAGGTTCCTAGTGGCACAGCACTCAGGTGCTAATCAAAGCCTGCTGTTGGAAATCCCCTAGTCATTCCTCGGGGGAAAGATGCAGCCACACCTCTCTAAAACTTCACAGCCTTGGAAACCTTGTGGGGCAGTTCTACTGTCGGAAGCAACTGGACAGCAAGAGGCTAACTACTGAATGCTGCTGCCGCCCTAATTCAAGAGCACTGGACCACAAGGATGGACCATAAAGTCAGAGGTTCAAATTGGCCAGCTGCTCCTTGGAAACCCTCTACAGGGTCATTATGAGTCGGAGCTGACTTGCCGCACTTAAAACAAGTGTGACCTTGGCCTTTGCCCCCACATCCAGTGGATCCTCAGCCGGCCCACCTGTCTTTCCTTTTAATGAAGAGTCCTCAGGTCTGCCCACTGTCCCGCTGACCAGGTGGGCTTGGATCTGTGCTGCTGCTGGCCACTTGCCCCTGCAGTGTAACTGGTCTTGGTGGAGATGAATGCTCTGTTGCTCCATCCTGGAGCCTTACGGGGATGTATGGAGAACCCACTCAGGGGGAGAGGAAAGAGGGACAGAGCAGGAAGCTGCACGCAGGAGAGAAGCGCCAGACAGAGAGCACAGGGTGGGCTCAGAGGATGTTTTATTAGAGGTTGGGGACACAGACATCCAGTCACCTTTATAACCTGGGGACAGAGAAGAAGCAACTAAGGTTAGATCAGGAAACGACCCCCCTCGCTCTTGTCCATTCCCCACTGGTTTTGGCCTTTTGGTTTCTCTGGGGTCCTCCTCTATACCCTCTGAGCTTGGCCAACTTAGTGTGGCTCCCTGCAATGGCTGGGCTTGAACGCAGAACCCACCAGGAAGAAGGCTCCTTTCTTATGTGGTACTGAGTTCGAGCTGTGCTTCAGGCCCAGCAGAGAGCAGCTACTGGTGTGGGGAAGGGCGTGGGGGGAGAAACTCACTGGATCTCTCGGAAGGCACGCTTCTCCACCAACTTCACTTTGTACTTGCGCTTGAACCTGGGGAAGGGAAAAGGGGGCCGGGTCAGTGAGTGGCAAGCCCCACCCGCTAGCCCGTCACCCCTATGGGGCCTGGCCTTACTTGGCTCTCTCCCGGGGCTCGATCATGTTCCTTCTCTGGAAGCTCTTGAACTGGTCTCGAAGGATGTTGCCCTCAGGCTGTAGGACATAGAGAAGGGGTAGGCCTCAGTGGAAACGCCCCCCAGTCCAGCTGGCCCTACCCCCATGGGCTCAGCCCTGGGAGGCACTCAGGAATGATTCATGGCAGCCCTGAAGAAGGTGTGCAGGGCTCAGAATGCCCAGTTCCCTGGTCCAGCTCAGCTGGTGGGAGAGGAGCTGGGGCTCCTCCCAGAGCCCTGGGAGCTGCTTACATGCCACACTGGTGAGTAAACGCTTACCAACAGTCAGCAAACATTCAACTGTTGGTCTCTACTCATTAGAAGCAAGAGTAAGGTGTCCAACATCTCGAAGAAGTGATAAGTCTCAAGGCTGTTGGCACACATGAGCTCTATACCCTGAGAACTAGATGGTGTTCGACTCCACCACCAACCAATCTGATCAGGGGCAACAGAGATGATCCCAGACAGAAATGTAGAATGAATATCAAACTCTTCAAAAGGTCAGGCAACTGGTCCTGCCTCTAACTAGACCACCCAAGGCCAGAGAGCTCCCTGACACCAGCGCCCTGAGATGCTCTGTAAACGTTAAAACCAAACTACCCTAAGGTCACCTTTTAGCAAAACAGCAGAGGCACACAGAATAAAGGGTATTAATCCATAAAAATGGTGCTCGACTAAAAACACATCTGTACGAGTCTTGGTATGATGCTGTAGGGTAAGTGCCGGACTACTAAACTCACTCAGGGTTGGAGATTCAAACCCACCAGTCGTTCCTTGGAAACCCTATAGGGTTGCTATGAGTCAGAACCAACTCAAGGACACTTAATGATAACAACATGAGACCAAAAGTTCAAAAGTTAATGTAAAAGAAAGATAGGAAGATAAAAGGACAGGGAAACTATAGAGTACTGGAAACAGAAGACTCAAACACAATGTTTGACACGTTGTGAAAAACTAATTAGTGTCACTGAATAATGTGACGGAATTGTCAAACTACAATCTAACTCGCTGTGCAAACTTTCACCAAAACCAGAAATACTGTATTACTGAAAAAAAAAAAGACAAACTAAAGACAAAAGACTTTGATGCGGGTGGCGGTGAGACTTCAAGCAGGCAGGGGGTGGGATCTGGTTAGGAGCAAGTGGCTCCTAAGTGTACCAGGCCCAAGCCAGCCTGGTCCCTCCCCCAACACCCACCTCTGGAGGCCCTGCCCTCAGCCCCCAGGCATCAGCCCACTGGCCAGCCCAGGGGAGCCACTGTGTCGCCCAAAGCCCCAGGAGGGCACGGGGAGCAAGGATGTGTCATCAGCGGGCAAAGGTCCTCACAGCTCCAGCTAACACCCAGCCCGCCCACCACAGACAGGCACCTTCAGGGTCCGAAGTGAGTCCGACAGTTCTGAACTCAGCTGCACGTCAATGTCGGGGGCCTGATACCTGGAGAAGGAAGGGCAGAGGGCTTCAGGGCTGGTACACTGCAAAGCCCCACCCTTCTGGGGGTAAGCCAAGAGTCACACCACACAGCAGGGTTCCAGAGACCAGACACTCCTTTAGGAGGCAGGACCAGGTACCTAACCTGCACAGCTGAGTCCCCTGAAACCTGCTCCCTCAGAAAACCCACCCAATCCACCCCTACTCCCTTGTCAGCCTTTACCGCCCTCTCCCAGGGTTCCTGAGTCTGGTCCAGCCCCTGCCCTGGGCCTCACTTGAGTCGCCCCAGCCTTCGGGGCTTGTCAGCCTCAGCCAGTCGCTGCAGCCTCCGCTGCTCCCGTCGCCTTGCCAGGTCTGCCAGCCGCCGTGCCACCTGGGCCTTGATCCCTCGCAGCCGGAAGAGCTCCTGGTGCCGGAGCTGGGCAGCCCTCTGAGCAGCCCTCTGTGCCAGCTGTGGGGAGGGTCTGGGGGTTAGGGGGCTCACGCCTTCCTACCTGGGCCGGCCACACACACACAGCTGCCTTAACTTCTGCACAGGTGTTCTCTGAAACTACATGCCACTCGTCTGTCAGCTGTCCATAGGTCCCACCTCCCCAGCAGGAACTTCCTCTAGTGGGTCCCTGTTAAATCCTGAGCCCACAGTGGAATCTGGTGGCCAGCTGACAATGCAGCTCAAGAGTCCCAATAGTGCAGGAAACAGGCTGTTGTTAAGTGCCATTCAGCTGATTCTGACTCACAGTGACCTAGGATGGGGTTTCTGAGGAGTAGTGGCTAGACGGTTTGAACCATGAGCCTTTCAGTTCAAGCGGACTTTACGGTCCAGTGCCTATCCTACAGTGTCACACCAAGACTCTGGGAATTAAAACGCAGGCTGTGGGTGGCAGGGAACCCATTCCTCAATCCCATGGTGCTCACCAGGGTCCGGGCAGTCTTCTCCCGGCGTCGCTGTTGCTCCGTCTTCTTCTCAGCCCTGGCCTGGCGGGCGGGTGTGGACGAGGTCTGGTCTCCTCCAAGCTCAGGTCCCTGGCTGCCCCCTAGCTCCTCTTCCCCATCCGACTCTTCCAGCAGCCCCTCACACATCTCCTGAAACGTGGACTCCTGGGGTTGGGAGAGAGGCAGAGTCAGAGAGTTAGAGTCAGGGCTGAGGCAAGGGGGCTGGGGAGGGAGGTGGGGAGAGGCAGGGCTCACCTGGGTGGCCACCTTCTCAGCGCTGGGCAAGGCCAGCTGCCTCTCCAGCTTCTCCGCCACCTTCTGCCGCTGTACCTCCACCTCATGGGCCTCCCGGAGCAGGGCCTGGGGTGGGACGCGGTAAGAAGTGAGGCATTCATTTGGCCCCAGTGCCCTATGCTGGGCAATCTCTGGTCCTGCCCTCCCCCTGCGCTCCTGTGTGGCCAAGGCTACATACCTGGTGGTCCTCAAAGGCTGGGTTATAAGAGGCACCGGCAGGAGTCACTTCTAGAGCAGGTGCCTGGGAGGGCTTGGTGAGGAGCCGTGGCGGCCGCTGAAGAAAAACAGGCCAGACAAGGTGAGGCCCAGGAGCCCCTAGCTCAAGATCGACACACTGCGAGGGGCCGAGACGGACCACTGAGAGGAACACCAGCGGCCCAGCCAGTTCCTGTAGCTAGTCTGCCTGCCTGCCCTCCCTGGGAAGAGACCATACACAGCCACGGCACTGAGGGCTGCTGGCACTAGTGAGAGGAGCTGGTTAAGCTGGGTCCTGGTTCGATTTCAGTCTCACATTTAGCCCCCCCAAAGTCTCCCGGACCCCCATCCACATCCCCCATCACATGGGCCTCTTCACTGAACCTTTGCACATGCTTTTCTCTGGGCCTGGAGACTCCTCCCTGATCTCTGCATGGTGGGTCCCCACACCGCAAGGGCTCTAACATCATGTTTCTTGTGTGGGGGGGGAGGTATGTATGTGTGTGTGTGATACAAACAGTTAATGAGCTCAGCTCCTTAGTTAAAACTCAGAGGAGCCTCAAAATAAAGGTGTGGCGATCTATTTCCCAAAAGCCAGACACTGAAAACCCCATGGAGCACCCTGTACTCTGACACAAAGGAGCTCGCCATGAGTAGGAGCCCACTTGATGGCCACTGATTTAGGAGTCCCTGGTGTCGTAAACAGCTAACCTATTTGGCTACTACCCAAAAAGTTGGCAGCTTGAGTCCACCCAGCGGCCTAGCAATCTGCATCTGGACAAGGTGTCACTGGAACCCCTGTGGAGCTCGTCCCACTGACACTTGTGGTCCGAACCGACTGCACGGCACTAGTGGCTTTCACAGCAGCACGGGCTCCGCAGATCCGTCTGAAGCTCCCCGCTGACCTGCCTGGCACCCCTTGTTTCCAACCATGGCTGCACACACTGTGGCGCACAAACATCTCTATGCCCCCTCCAGCCGATGGGAGCCCTGCTCTACCATCCCATAGCACCCAGCATGGAAAAGACACTGGCTCTTTATTAAATGAGTGAGGTGGATCCTGAAGACTCAGGAGCCCCTGTGTCCTAACTCTCTGGGTTCCAGCAACTGAAACTAAAGACCAAAGCCATTACTGTCAATTCCAACTCCTAACAGCCCTGCAGGACAGAGTAGAACTGCCCCATGGGGTTTCCAAGGCTGCAAATCTGTCTGGAAGCAGACTCCACATCTTTCTACCACGGCACAGCTAGTGGATTGGAACTGACGAACTTTGAATTAGCAACTGAGGCAGCAACTACAAACCCAATAAGGAAACATCCCAGGTCAGCAGGCTTACAGCAGGTCCAGGCCTGTGCACAGTCCTTCTGCTAACACACGCCATTCCCCCAACCAGCCCACCGCTACGTGCTGCTAACCAACGGGCAGGGGACAGAGCCTGGGAGCCACAGGGCAGGGCGAACGTGCTCACTTGAAGCTGCTAACTGGGAAAGCCTGCCTCTTCCCCCCAAATGCCCGCCCCCAGCACACCCTCCCCACATGTTCACACCTTGACTCCTTTCTTCTTGGTCTGCTCCAGGAAGAACGTGTCCTGGCCAACCAGTGGGCGGTCCAGAGGGTCTGTGGAGACAGGGAGGGGTCCTTTCACATCAAGAACGAAGGAAGTGAAGCAAAGCCGAAGGAGGCACTAAGTATCAGGTGATGAGGAGCCTTCAGGACAAGCCAAACAGGCTCGGGGTAATGTTCAGAGTGCAGAGACCCAAGGATGAGGGAGAGGGGAAAGGTGCTACCACAAGTTGTTGACTGGAGGAAGATTATAAAGCAACGCCCAACCAAGGAGCCCCCTACACGAAGGGGGGGCTCTCGTGCGGTGAAGGACCCTAAGAGCCACCACGGCAGCCCATGTCTCTGAGCCCGAGATGAGCATACAGCACTCACTGTCTGAGGCCCAGATGTCATAGAAGGGCTGCTCCACTGTGTCCTGGGGTCCAGGCTTGGCTTTGGCAGCAGGGGGCTGGCGAAGCCGGGCCTGGGCTCTCCGCACCTCGCGAGGCAGCTCGCCCTGCTTGGTTAGCCTCTCCCATAGCTGCTGCTTTCGCTTGAGCTTCTTGGCGTTGGGGACCTGATGGGCAAGGATGCTGGGTCGAGAAGCAGGTGGGTAAAGCAGGTGGGTCAGGCACCTCTGGCTCTGCTTGTAGACACTGCAACCCCAGCTCCCCATCTTCAGATGCCATCCCCACCCCAGGCTTGTCTGTGAGCCCCAGATGAGCTAATACAGCTTCCTGGAGCCAGACCTTCAATGCCAGCCGGCCACCTCACACCATGTCCCAACCACACCCACCAGCCACCCGTCCCATGGTGGGCCTTCCAATGTGTCATCAGGCCTCCCGCATACACATCACCTAATTAGCTGCTCACTCCATCCCCTCCCTGCAGTGGCCAGTCACTGAGCATCTGACCCGCCCTTCCTCTCTACTTCCAGCCCACCTTCACCAGCCAGGCCTCTAGGCTCCCACCCTCCTCCAATCCCCACTCCCTGACAAGACTCTCACCAACCTCCCTCCACCCTACAATCCCTTTCAGGCCAAGTAGGGAGCTCACTCTTTGGGAACGGGGACTGCGGATGAGTTCTCTAGAGTGAGGTCGATCCGGAGGGGTTTCTTGAGAAGCAGCGACTTCTGGCCTTTGGTCCTCTTCTTCTTCAGCTCTGGAGTAGGGGAAGGAGCACCAAGGCCTCAGCCCTTTTGGGACCCCCGAGGGGCCTCCCTGTCTCAATTCTAGCAAGGCTTTCACACCTGCAGCCCCGGACAGACTAGGAAGCACCCATCACCAAGAGAGGCACCCAGGGCGGGGCCCGAAGGCTGCACAACCTCTAACACACACTGATACCACAACCTTCTTGGGGCCAGAGGAAGTCAGATCAGTGATGGCCCTGCAGACAAAAGGCTCCCAGATGCAGCAGCAGGGACATAGTCACGGGACCAGTAACGGTTACAAGGAAAGTGCAGATGGTTGGACAGGGCCACAGAGATGAAGGATTCAGGACCCAGGATAGGCAATTTTCAGTATAGAATCTGCCATCCTTTCCTTCTAAAGGCAGACAATCAGAAAGACTCCGAAACATAACACACTAGGCCAGTCCTTTCCCATTCATTTAGTCCTGGGGGCGGGGGCAAACGGGGCACTCACACAAGCAACTTGCTGCCTGGGTTGATCAAGTGAGAACACACACGCCAGTCAGTCAGTCAGTCAGTCAGCAGCCTTGGGAGTCCGTTCACACTCATGGCAATCCCACATTTGTTGGAGAAAACTGTGTTGCACAGGGCACTCAATGGCTGTGACATTCCTTTGTGGTGTGATCAGCCCACAGCTCAGCTCTGAGCCAAAAGTTTGGTGGTTCAAATTCACCCCGGGGTCATGCAAAAAAAAAACCTGTGAGTAGACTTCCGAAAGATCCAAGCCCACTGCCCAGGGTTTTCAGGGCTGTGCCCCTTCAGGACAGGGCTGTCTTCCAAAGTGCCTCTGGATGGGTTCAGATGGCCAAACTTTTGGGTGGCAGCTGGGTGCTACACATTTGTACCACCCTTGGACTCCTGAGAATATGAATACGTACACTTCATTAAGTGCTGTGGGATTAGGAATGAGTTCAGGAGCATTACGGGCAGTCTCATCTGTGAGTGTGTATGGCCACAAGTACTCACCCTCTTATTGAAGTCCAATCCACCAACTGCCTCACTCCTCTCTTTCAAAGACACCCTGACTAATGAAGGCAGGCCCCTGAACACTGAGGCATCTGCTCATTAGCCAGGTCCCTAATGATCAAACACGGGAGCTCCTGACTTTGGCTAACACTGACTTCAGTCAGATCATGTCAGCCTGCTGGCACAGTGGTTAAAGCTCACCAAAAGGCTGGTGGCTTAAACCCAGCAGCTACCCTGTGAGAACAATGTGGCAATCGGATTCCATAAAGATGACATTCTTGGAGACGAACCCTATGGGGTAGTTCTACTCCGTCCTGTTGGGTGGCTCTGAGTTGGAATCAACTCCATGGCAATGGGTAGGTTCTTGCTGATTCCATACAAGCTCACTGTAGGCTCCTCCTGCTACCATAAAGATTTATAACCTCGGAGACCATGTTCTACTGTCCTGTTGGGTCTCTTTGAGTCGGAATCAACTCGACGGCACATCACCACCACCACGCTGTTAAAGCAGCTTGTCATTCTGCTCATTGAAGCTATTAGGCTTTTACTAGTCTACAGGGCTAGTAACAACACAAGCCACAGCTTCACCAATCTTGAGGCCAGAACTAGACAGTGCCCAGCAACTACTACCTACCATCCTGATCAGGGCCACAAAAGACGGCCCTAATACAAGGGTGGTAACCACAGAACAGAACTCAAATCCTCAGTAAGTCCACACTTCCTAGACCAATTAAGACTACAGGAATCCCTAAGACTGTCTCTTGTGTGTCAGAGTACAACTCTGCTCCACAGGGTTTTCTCAATGGTTGGTTACTTAGAATGGATCACCAGGTCTTTCTTCCAAGGTGCCTATGTGTGGATAAAATCCACCAACTTTTTCAATTAGCAGTTGTGCTACTATAAGTGCCTTCGAGTTGATGCTGACTCAGAGCAACCCTACATAGGGTTTGAGGCCTCACAGGATCAGAAAAGCCTCATCTTTCTCCTGTAGACTTTGTGGTTCACTGTCCCGTGCTTATTCTACAGAGCTACCACGCAGATGAATGGATGTACCACCCAGAGACACCAGCTTGCTTTCTGCCTCCTCCTTAAAACAGACGGCGCAGCTGAGTTTCAGTCCTATGACCCACTGAAGCCAGCCCTAACTTGCTCTTTGTCCACTTCCTGCTGCTGCAGCTTCCAGCCTTGGTTCCCCTGGCTAAGTGAAGCGGGCAGGTTATAATTAGTTTCTTGCCCACTGTGTAGATGCTTCTGTTCTTATGCTCCTTACTACGGGGCCCTGGCTTACTCTTCAACAAGCAGGTGGCAGAACTCATGCTCCACTTCCAACATACAGGTCAAGACTCATTTGCTCACTGACACCTCCAAGAGCTGGAAACAGCTCCGCTTCCTGGTGGTTCTCTTATTTATACCCAAAACACTTTCTTAGTTACTATACTTTATTGCAGGTTAATGCGTAATCCTTCATGTGCGCATTCCCTATGTCATCAACATCCACATGTTATGTGTGGAAAATACTATATAATTAACAAGTGCTCAAGTGGATTCTTCCAAACTATGTCATCAGCACAAATCCTCTCAGACAGCAGGGTAGTGGTACTGTTGGATAAGCACTGGATTACAGACAATCAGGAACTCCATGGGAGAAAGATGAGGCTTTCTGCTCCCATTAAGATTTTACAGCATCAGGAACACCGTACAGGATTGCTATGAGTTGGAATCAACTCGATGATAGTGGGGTTGGGTTTTAGATAGTGACCAAACATCACCATGAAGACCCCTCCTCACCTTTCTTGTTGGGGCCAGTGTCCACAAAGAAAAGTTTTTCATCGGGAGCCTCTGACACCAAGCACCTGGAAGAGGAAAATACAGAGGGTCAGGCACAGAGTTTGGGAGCAATCAGGTCAAAGTCCCTCAGGGCTCAACCTTCCTCTTGAAACTTATTTACACTGTGGGACCCTTCCCCTTAAAATGCAGAAAAGTTCAAATTAAATTCCCACAGAATCCAGACTTTCTGGAGCCATGGAGACTGCATAAGCCTCTGAACCTACAGTCCTGAGACAAACTTTAAAGCAGAAATATCCTCTGAAGTTTTCTTGAGACCAACACTAATGTAATAACTTGTACAGAATGCATGCCTTGAGCTCTGATCTCTTCTAAGAAATGGGATCAAACTGACAACAGACACTTGAAAGGCAGGGGTGGTACAACTCATAAAAGGCTGGGAGAATGGTTGCCCAAATCAAAGAACGTAATCAACATCACTAAGTTGTACATGTAGAAACTGATGAGTTGCTATTTTGCTGTAAATATTCTCAAATCATAACAAAACAACAACAAAGAACTCAACAACACACACACCTCCCCCCTTCAGTTTGACCAATTGGAATTGGTGTGGCACCCCATGTGTGCAAGAGTAGAACAGTGCTCCATGGGGTTTTCAATGACTGTTTTTTTCAGAAATAGAATGCCAGGTCTTTCTTCCGAGGTGCGTCCAAACTTTGGGTAAGCAGCCAAGCTTGTTAACACTTTGTGCCACCTAGGGACGCCCCTAGTCAGTGAATTCTGACTCCCAGCCACTCAACATGGGGTTTCTGAGACTGCGAAGCTTTACTTAGAGCAAACAATCTCACCTTTCTCCTCTGGAGTAGTTGGTGGGTACCTGGTCAACTTAGGAGGAAGTTACTTGCCTCATATGCATGTGAAAGCTGAGCAATGAATAAGGAAGCCAGTAGAATTTATGTGTTTTGAGTTAAGGGGCTGGAGAATATTGAAAGTACCATGGACTACCAAATGAATACACAGATCTGCGTTGGAAGTACAATTGGAATGCTCCTTAGAAGCCAAGATGGCCAGACTCCACGGGGGAAAGATGCACCCACAAAGATGCACAGCCTGGGAATCCTATACAGGGTAGCTAAACAGGGTAGTTGAACAGACTTATCTACAGTTCTAAACTTAGCAAAAAAAAAAAGAACCCTAATCAGGCTATAGAATAATTACTGGACTGCTAATCCCCAGCTTTTCAAACCCACCAACTGTTCCATGGGAGAAACCCATAGGATTTCCATATTTATGACACTCTCCACACACCCCCAGCAGCTGGTGGATTTGAACTGCCAACATGTTGGCTAACCACGGAGCACTTTAACTAGTGCACCATCAGGACCCTTCCCTTATAGTTCCATTCACTCACTGCCATGAGTGGATTCTGACTCAGAGTAACCCTTTAAAGAATCTCTGAAAGTTGTTAAATCTTGATTGTTTTTTCGTTAAGTGCCCTTGCTCTCAAGTCAGATCCCACTCACAGCGACCCTGTATAGGGTTTCCAAGGAGGCACTGGTGAGTTTGAACCACCGATCTTGCGGTCCAGTGCCTTATCCCACAATGCCACACCAAGACTCACAGAAAGCCTCCTCGTCTGGTAGGTTTAAACTACTGACCTTACAGTTACTAGTACAGTGCTTTAAACCCAGAAAACCCTATGGGGCTGTTCTGTCACCTGGAGTTGCTAAGAGTCGGAATCGACTCGAGAGCACCCAACATCAACATTAATGTACTTAACATTAACGATTTTCTTAAATAAGTGAAAATATTTCCTTATATTAACAAATTACTGGGTGTTACTCTGGAATTCGAATTTAAGTGGTCATCCTACCAACCCTATCAAACCCACCAGAAGTCCCCCAACTTCGCACCTAGAGTCTCCAGCCCATCCTCTCAGGGAGCTCGCCCCAACGTTTCAGGTTGTCCCCGCAAAATGCTTCCAAGTACTGCAGCACTGAACGCGGCCGGGGTCCCGGAAGTCCCGCCCCACGTACCCAGCCGTGCGCTCTTGCAGCCGTACGTCCTCCAGGAACTGATCTACCTCCAGCCCCAGAGGCTCCTGAGCGAGTCGCCGCCAGCCCCGCTTCTTATTGCGTGGGCCTCGCCGTCGCCGCCTTAGCGCTGGATCTATTGAAGTGGCCCTCAGCCCCAGGAAACCAGAATCGGTCGCATTTTTCGTACACGGCCTATCGCCACCACCACAGCGGCCCGCCGCCATCTTGCCAAAGGAAGAAGCACGTCGCTGGTGCCCCGAGAGCCGGTTTGGGGCGTGCGCGCGCAGATCTCCCGCCCACTCCCCGTGACTGATTTCCGGTGGCTGTCATCTTTATAAAGTAATTGGCGTAGTGAATGGGCGAAGGGGTTGCCATCTTGGTAAAGAATAAATGGTTCCTCCCTCCTGTCTGTGCAATGGGAACCGCAGGTTCATTAAAAAAAAAAAAAAAAAATTTGTGCGTGAATTGAGTTGATCTTAAAAATAATAGTAGTAATCATTTTGAGAAAGACCAAGACTGCCAGGAAAAATGTTTTGATTAGGGTGAGAAACAGAACCTCTAGCACCAGCTTTTACCTTGGGTGATGTGGAAGGCAATCTACAAGAGGGAAATTGGCAGAGAAAGACCCAGGAAGGAGTGCAAGAGTTAAAGGGAATGGAGGTAAAGACTGTTAACTGATGATACTTAGAGAACATTCTAAAACTGATGATTTGGTATCAAGATGCCTCTAGAGCTCCTTCGTTCACCCAAACCAAACCCACTGCCAAAGGCAATTCTAACTCATAGGAGCCTTGGTGGCACAATAGTTAAAGAGCTTAACTGCTAACAGAAGGGTTGGTGGTTTGAATCATCCACCAGTCCATCCAAGGGAGACAGATGTGGCAATCAGCTTCCATCAATTACATCCTTGGAAACCCTAAGGCACAATTCTACACTGTCCTGTAGGGTCACTATTGTTACCAGAAGTGCTAGTCACTCTTTTGTCCTCTCACAGAGACCTCCTACCTTCTACTGATGAAGAATAGTCAGGTGAGTCAGAGTTCATATGAACAAAGATTTATTACAGGAAAGAGGCTTTCGAATAGAGATGGGGATGTCTTAACTCAATGCTTACCCTGTCTCCCCAAACAAAAGCTTTATTGGGGTTTATTTTAATGGAAAAGGCATCATGCTTATTTATTGACTGGAACAGGCAAGGATTTCTGGGAAATGGCTTATTTAGGAGAGGCCCTGCTAACTGTGAGCAGCATTTCTTCAGTATGGATTCCACTGCTAAAGGCTCTTGTAAGAGCAGACAAAACTTACTATGGGATGGCACACATGCGTGGTTCTTCAGGACCCTGGTTCAAACTTCTCTCAGAGGCTAGCATTCTCTCCTCTGTCTCAGTAGGTTTGTCCTTTAAAGTTATGCCTTGGACCTGGGTAAACCAGCCAGGCCTCTAATGCAGCTCACAAGGAAGTAAAAATACAGAATCTTTATGGATGGTCTTCCTTAATGGCGTATCCCAGGGTGTGCCTGTTCAGCTATGTGCTGCACATCTTTACAACTGCCCAAGCAAGGAGGAACACAGGTTTCAACGTTCCTCAAGATTTCACTTAGAAGATTTCAGTTAATAAGTGGCTCATGTTTAATCCTGATTTCTGGATGCCTGTCTCCCCCTGGCTCACTATGAATCTGAATCAGCTAGAAGGCAGTGGGTATGGTTTTTGATAGAAGGTGAACAAAAACTTCAGGGAAATAAGCACTCCGTAGAATAATCAACCAGAAGAAATGGAAAGGACAGCATTTGCCCACGGAGTCCTGGTGTGGCGCTGTGGATTAATGTGCCAGACTGCAAAGCCATTTGAATTGCAAGGTTGGCAGTTCAAGTTCACCAGCTGCTCCTCAGAAACCCTATACAGAGTCGCTATGGGTCGGAACCGACTCGACGGCACTTCACAACAACACAACAAGAACAAAGCTTAGAAGGTAGGAAAGAAGGAGAAATGGAACTGAAAAACAAAGGTAGCTAGTGGAAAGAGTCTTGTTGCATTGTGAGGATTACAATTACTGTCACAAAACAAAATGTGCTTGAATTGTTGAATGGAAACCCAGTTTGCTCTGTTAGCTTTCACCCAGTCACAATAAAAAGTTCAACAACAAAAAAGATTTCTTTTTACCGCAGTCTTGTTTTCTTAAAGAAAGAAAATCAGAACTATCAGCAGCAGATTCAGCACAAAACATATCCCGATCTCAGAATGGTTGACCTTGGTATTCTCACCCTACAACCTTGGAACTCAAATAACTTTAGGAATGTCCATGTTGGCAATCCAGTATGTTCTAGTCAAGGAATACTGGACATGTATCAGAACCCTAGAAGTCCACACTCTTATCATTAATCCCCTAGACGTACACACTCGATCGTTAATCTTGTCAAATTAGTAATTTTGCTGTTGTCTCAGTTTCCTCTTCTGTAAAATGGCATGTTGCTGTTCAGTGCCATTGAGTCAGTTCTGACCCAAAGTGACCCTGTATGGGGTTTCCAAGGAGTGGCTGGTGGGTTTGAACCATCGACCTTGTAGTTGGCAGTCCAGTGCTTATCCAACGGGGCCACACCAGCACTGTGTAAAATGGGATATACTACTATTTACTTCATATGAGGAGCCCCGAAGGTAAATGGCTGAGAGGTTGGTAGTTAGTCATTGAACCCAGAGACCTGGGGTGGTGCTTGACTGCGAAGTTGGTTTGAATCACAAGGTCGAAAACCCTATACAGGGTCGCTATGGGTCGAAACTGACTTGATGGTACCAACAACAATAGTTCTAACCAACTCAGCTGTTCTATGGGAGAAAAAGACCTGGAGGGCTCCTGTATAGATTTGTGGTGAAGATCTGGTAGCGTAGTGGTTGCAAATTGGGCTGCGAGCCGCAAGGTCAGCAGTTCGAAACTACCGGCTGTTCTGCAGGAGAAAGATGAGGCTTTCTGCTCCTGTAAAGATTTACAGCCTTGGAAACCTTATGCAGGGTTGCTATGAGTTGGAACCGACTCCAAGGCACATAACAACCACCACCACCACCACCGAGTCAGTTCAACTCTTAGTGATCCTGTATAGGTTTTTCGAGGAGCGACTGGTGGGTCTGAATCACCACCTTGAGGTTCAAAGGGACCTTGAGTCTGGTGCAGCCTATTTATCGAGTGGGCTGGCTACCAGTCTTAATCCATGCTCTTGTACTTAGCAACAACATGTGAAAGCATTTAAAACTGTCCCTGACATGTGGATAGTAGCTACTGTACCAGCCTCACTCCACCCCTGACTCCTAGTGACCCTGTATAGGGTTTCTGCTGACGTATATTTTTAAGGGAACAGAAAGTCTCATCTTTCTTCCATGGAGCAGCTGGTGGATTCGAACTGCTGATCCTGCAGCTAGCAGTCCAACGGTATTACCGCCCACTGTCCAACTAGGTAGGGCTTCTCCGCCCAACCCCAATCCTTGCTATTTACAAATAAGGAAGGAAGCTCTGGGACCCTGGCAACCACCCAAAGGAATCCAGGGCCTCAAGAAAGGCATTCTTCACTCTTTAACGAAACAGGCCCAGAGAGGAAAAGCATCACAAGGGGAGGGAATCACACAGTAGACACTGGATCCCTGTGCAGAGCGTTAAGAAGGTGATAGGTCCTGAATTATGATCCCGAGGCGTTAGTATGAACCACTTCGAACCAGAGCTAGGAAGAAGTCTCAGGGACCAAGATGGCCAGCTCCCATGTATCCGCCAGAGGGCGACAGAAGCTGCGAAATGAAGCGAGCGTGGGTGGCTAGAGCGCTCCAGATTAGCGTGTCCCCTGGCAGAGGGCGTGAGTGTGCTGACCCGGGAGTGCTGGGTGCGCTGTGTAACGAGGCCCCAGGGTTTAAGAGGTGCGTGCAAGAGGATGTTCCCATGGTGGTCCTTCCAGAGTGTTACCACCTCCTTTCCTTCACCAGGAGCCCAGATGTTCCTGGTGTTCTGTCAGAAGTCATGTACCCAGGTGGTATAAGTGAATAAATAGTAGTGGACGCGGGGCGGGCGGGGTGACTCGTGCCCAAACTCGGGTGTGTGCACTCAACCTCGCGCCCCGGACCTCAGTTCCCAGGCCCCCGCTGCGGGCGGTGGTAGGAAGGGATGTCCCGTTGGGAGGGCCCCTGAGTAACTTTTCTTCGGAAAATATGCCGGTCTGGCCCCCAGCCCAGGCCTGAGTCACCAGGCTAGGCTGGATTGAGTCATGGACTCCACCCCTGCCCCTGGGAGCTTGGAGGAGACCCCCTTCAACTAGCTTAGGGCTTTCTTTCCCTTAGAAGGGCGACCCCCACCACTGCCCTCCCCAAGACAGCGGGATTCCCAGTTGGGAAGAAGCCTTGGCTTTATTCACTCCGTGGGGCCACAATTCGTTCACAGGCCCCTCCTGGGCATAGGGTGACGCAAAGGCAATGGTAGGCATGGGTGTCCCTGTAGACGTGGCAGGGCCTGCATTTAGTTTCTCTTCTCACCGTTTCCATGGGGTCCCCCCACCAGGCTTAAGCACTAGTTGTGTAGTGAAACGGGATAGGGGAAGGGTGGTAAGCCGTGGGGGTTGATAAGTCCCTTTAGGGTCGGGGTGGGCTGTAGCACCGAGAAACCCTTCCCCCATGACATTCCTGAAAGAGGGGCCTAAAATATCGACTGTGCCCTTGGTATCTGGGAAGGGCTCTACTTAAAAACGTACTGAGAGTGAGCGGAAAGACTGGACCCCAGCAGCCACAGTTTCGGGCGAGCAGCTGTGGGGAGTCTGTGGGGTGCCCCAGGGGGCAGGCTAGGCGTGTCAGCCCAAGCCAGGTGGATGGAAGGTCTGAAAGATCTCCAAGTGAGGAAACCCGCAAGAGCGCCAGAACAGAAGTAGCCTTAGTAGAAAAGTGGGTGTGGCCAGATTCAGGAGGTGGTCCCGAGCTGGGGGCGGAGCTGAAGGGGTAGGAGGTAGGTCTACCCTGAACTCCCAGAGATTCCGAAAGCCAGAGGTTGGGGTTGGGGGATCCTTGCCTGAGTAGGAGGAAGTAGGTCAAGGGGGCTTACATATTAGTCATTTCAACCACTTGGCCGTTCATTGGCGGGGAAGGGCTAGCGGTGTTTGTAGGTCACAGGAATCACACTGCTTAGGGCTGTGTATATGTATACACATGTGCACGTGTGTGTGTGTGTGTGTGTGTGTGTGTGTGTGTGTGTAGTTAGGACGACGGTGCCCTGCCTTCTCCTCATGAGAACGTCATCTCCAGGAGACAGACATATTTTCTATTTTGTTCTCAGCTCTGATCCCAGCACCTAAAATAGGGCTTGGCACACAATAGGTGCTCAATAAATAGTGGAATGGATGAGGAACGGATGGCTGCCTGTGTTATGTCTCTGTGTGTACATGTCAGTGCGAGGTGCCTGAGTGTATCTCAGAGCGGAGGTGCAAGGACAGACAGGAAGGGGTGGGAGGTCTTGCCCCTCCTCTGGTCCCCACTAAATGTGATGACCCCGGATGTCTGGGAGTGGGGAGGGAGCGGAGGAAGACCCCCAGATCCTCACAGCTGGGCAGGGTAGACTGGCTTGGGGCATGTGGGCCAGGGAAGAGGCGTGCGTGCAGCTGACCAGAGCTGGGGAGCCACAGCAGAGCAGGAGGGAGGGAGGGCCAGTGGGCAGCAGGCAGGCGGCTCACTCCGCGGAACCCTTGTGGCGCCTCTTGGAGGGCGGCACAAGGCGGCGGGGCAGATTAGTCGGCAGCCCGTGGCCCTCGAGCTTGGCCTCGATGAGGTGGCTGGCCAAGGCAAACTCCTCATCGTCCAGCATGCCGTCGCGGTCGACGTCACTCAGCTTCCAGATGCGACCCAACACCGAGTTGGGCAGTTTGGTGCCCACCATCCAGGTCTTGGCCTTGGAGCCGCTCAGCTTGCCGTCGGCGGGCGCTAGGTTGTAGAAGATCTCGTCATACTTGGACTTGTCCTTGGTTACCACCCACTCGGCCTCATCTTCATCCGAGCCCTCCTGGCCGTCCTCCAGGGCTTCATCAGGCCCCCGCTCCACGAAGGGGCCCATGTGGGTGCCCTCGAAGGCTCCACCCTGCACGCCCGCCTCGGTGCTCTCCAGCTCCTCCTGACGCAGTAGCGGCATGAGTTTAGCGATGTCGTGCGTCAGCATCTCATCCAGCGCCTCCAGCAACTTCGGCTTCAGCGAGTGGAACTTGGTAAAGTCGTGCACCATCAGCAACTCCTGTGGGGGTGGCAGAGAGGAATCAGGGGGCACCATTCCTGGGGCCCTCTGTGGCACAGTACCTGGACACCTGGGGAACTCAGGTACTTACCATTTAGAAAAGATTTGGGCTTCAGAGACTCGGAGACACTTCCACTGTGCCAGGCTTCCCCAGAATTACTAGAAGGTAACTAAAAGGTGGCCTGTTCAACCAGTCCAGCAGTTCCACGGAAGAAGGACCTGGCGATGTGCTCCCGTAAAGATTACAGCCACGAAAAGTCTATGGGGCAGCTTTACTCTGTCTGATGGGGTCACTATGAGTTGAAAGACACTCAAAGGTACTCAACAACATTATGATGACATGCATTGAGCACTCTATCCAGATGGAGGTCTTGGGTGTCTCAAATGGTTGGCCCTCGACCACTAACTTAGAGGTTTGAGGCTCAAACCCACTCAGCAGCACTGCAGAAGAAAGTCCTCCACAAAGATTATATCAAATGCTTAACCATTTGGGCTACCAAGGTTCCTATCATCATGGTAACAACTGCTATTTATCTAGCTCAGCAAGATCCCTGGGGGCCATTTGGCAATATCTTGAGATATTTTTGATAGTCACAGGTTAGGGGTGGGAGGTTTGCTACTAGCAGCTAGTGGGTAGAGGCCAGGGGTGCTAGTCAACATCCTACAACCTCCACAACAAAGAATCCTCCTGTTCTGGAAAAACTACGTGCCCAGCATGTTCTAAAGTTTGCCCTAAAGTCACTTCTGATTCTCAACCAACCCTGTGTGTTCCAGACTAGAACTGCTCCATAGGGATTCCTTGGCGAGGTCTTTACAGACACAGATCGCCTGGCCTTTCTTCTGTGGTGCAGCTGGGTGGGTTTGAACCTTGAAACTTTAGGTTAATGTTGCTGTTGTTATGTGCTGTGGAGTTGGTTCCGACTCATAGTGACCCTGCACAGGGTTTCCGCGGCTGCAAATCTTTACGGGAGCCGAAAGCCTCATCTTTCTCCCGCAAAACAGCTGGTAGTTTTGAACTGCCGACCGTGAGATTAGTAGCTCCACTCACAACTACTACCTTCCAGAACTCCTTCCCTGGACATTACACAGCATCAGACCCCCTAGAGGAAAGACTACATTTCCCAGTGTCCCTTGTGACTACACATCCATGTGACTAAGTTCTGGCCAATCAGAGGTAAGCAAAAATTGCAAGGGCATCTCACAGAAACGCCGGGTTCAATATAATAGACCACAGCCTCATCTGGTTGCTTCAATTTAGATTAATTAAAGCAAAATACAACTTAAACTTCAGTTACTCGGTTGCAACAGCCACATACTAAGAACTCAGTAGCCACAGGTGGCTGTTGTTCATTCTGGTCCAGTCCGCACTACACTCTTGTTACATTGAGTCAGTTCCCACTTTTAGTGACCCTGTAGGTTTTTAGAGGCTGTAGCTCTCATCTTTCTCCCTTGTAGCTGCTGGTGGGCTCAAACTGCCCACTTAGGGTTTGCAGTCCAGTGCTTATACTACAGAGCCACTGTGCTTCCACGGTACTCTTGTTGTTATTAAAGTGCCGTCGAGTGGGTTCCAATCCATAGCAACCCTGTATAGAGTTTCTCAGGAACAGCTGGTGAGCTGGTGAGTTCAAACGACTTTGGAGTCCCACACATTAACCCACAGCGCCACACCAGGACTCCACTGTACTCTTGCAACGTAGTAAAAACACTGCCTTGTCCTGCCTGCACCAGCCCCAGGGTCTACTGGGAATCAGCCTTTACAGTCCACAGGGTTTTCACTGGCTGATTTTTAGAAGTAGATCTCCAGGCCTTTCTTGCTAGTCTGTCTTAGTCTAGACGCTCCACTGAAACCTATTCACCATCATAGCAACATGCAAGCCCCCAATGTCAGATGGGTGGTTGCTGCACTTGAGGTGCACTATCTGGGAATTGCACCTGGATCTTCCACATGAAAGACAAGAATTGTTAACACTGAGCTACCACATTGGACAATGCGTCCACCATCACAAAATATTCTATTGAACAGCTCTGTTCTAGAAAGTGTCTTTCAAGAAAGAGACTGCCCTTCTCTTTTCTCCCTTATTCTTTTCTTGCTGGCTAGAATGCAGATGCAATGGCTGGAATTTCCATAGCCATTCTGTACCATGAGGTGTTTTAGAGATCAAAGGCCAGACATGGAAGAGAAATACTCATACGACAGCTTGGTCCCTGGCTAGGTAGAGTCCAATTAGCCCTGTACCACCTTCTGGGATTTTTATGAAAGAGAGATATAAACTTCTATCTTAATTCTATCAGTTCCCATCTAGTCACCTTCAACATGTGGCTATCCCTTATGTGTCAGAGTAGAGCGGACCCCAGAGGGTTTTCAATCGCTGTGAACTTTCTGAAGTAGATCACCTGACCTTTCTTCCGAAGTGCCTCTAAGTGGACTCAAACTGCCAAGCTTTCTTCAGTTACTACTTAATTGCTGAAGTGTTTACATCACCCAATTATTTTGGGGTTTCCTTCATTTGCTTTAACAGCCCTGGTCACGCAGTAAAGTTAAGCACTGGGCTGCTAAATGCAAGTCAGCGCTTCAAACTCACCAGCCTCAGGAGGGAGATGAGGCAGTCTGCTCCTGTAAAGAGTTACAGTCTGGGAAACCCAGTGGGGGCAGTTTCACTCTATCCTATAGTGTTGCTGAGAGTTGGAATCGACTCAATGGCAGTGGGTTGTTTTGTTTTGTTTTCCCTTCATTTTCCCCTGGTGTCACAGTAGTTAAGTACTGGGCTGTTAACCAAAAGATTGGTGGTTTGAACCTACCACCTGCTTCGAGTGAGGAAGATGTAGCAGTTGGTTCTATAAAGATTTATAGCCTTGAAACCTTACCAGGCAGTTCTCTGTTTTGTTGGGTCACTGAGTCAGCTTGACGGTAGTGGGGTTTGTTTTTGTTTTTAGCATATCCTGATTCATTAAAGCTACACCCCCATGGTGCAGGGGGGTACTTTCCAGAATCTACAGGCCATCCACCCAGCTATCCATCTTTTTATCTTTTCGTATCCCAGCAAGAATTCACGGAAGTCCAAGGTCCCGCCTCCCTCCTGCCCCATGCTAGGTGGGCTCCCACCTGCATCTTCTGGCAATCCGGAAAGTCCCCGGGGGAGATGTGATGTTCCAGCTGAATTTTAGCAAAGATGACAGGCAGCTTGAGAATCAGCTGTTTCTTTTTGTTCTCTTTCCCAAACACGGAGGGCATCTCCTTCTTCAGGTAGCTGATGATGTACGCATGAACCTGGAGTGGGGAGAGGGAGGGAGGAAGAAGAGTGGACCTCACTTTAAGCCTGCATTGGAACCACCAAGAGGGTTTGTTAAAATGCAGGTTTGAAAGGTTGCCCCAGGGTGTCCCTTCACTGGTAATGGACCAACAAACAAAAAATGAATAAATAAACTAGCACACTCATTAAAAAAAAAAAGTCTGCCCCCTAAAAGAGTAATAACTTCAGAAACCCTATGCAGAGTTACACAAAGTAGCAACAACCACCATCTTTACAGACGTAGAAGAAGTCTTTCTTCTACTAAGCCCCTTGGGGGTTCGAACGGCATTTCAGTTAGCCCAGCGCTTCATCACTGCACCACCAGTATTCCTTTCCATAAAGACGACAACTAAGAAAGCCCAAATGTGGAGCCATTCTACTTTGTAACACACAGGGCCGCCGTAAGTCGTCGGAGGCTCACTGTAAGAGCTGCTCCACTTGGTGGCGAGTGGAGGGAGGCTTCCTCTTTGAGATCTCCCCTAATCTCCCTGGAGCTCAGTCTCTGCTCCTCTCTCTTCTAAGTGATCTCAGCCCCTCCACCCCCCTACAACTTCAAACAGCCCTTCAAGCCATCCACTCCCAACCTGACAGACCAGCCCAGGCCTGTCCCTTAAGCTCAAGACTCGCAGCGCTAATCATCCACATTCCTAGACATCTCTAGGGTGTGCCTGCCACCTGACTCGGAATTTTGGCTCAACCCCAGATAGGTGTCACATTTAACCCCTGGCCATTGAGTCAATTCTGTTGAGTTGATTCTTACTCATGTATGTCTGAACAGTACTGTGCTCTACAGGGACTTAAATGATTATCATCTTTCAGAGTGGATCCTTAGGTGGCACAAAGGCTTGCTCTCGGTCGCTAACCTTAAAGGTTGGCAGTTCGAACCCACTCAGTAGTGCTGCCGAAGAAAGTCCTGGCAACCTGCTCCCATAAAGCTCAAACCATATATAAATACATAAGTCCCTTGCCATCAAGTCGATTGTGACCCATGGCGACCTCATGTGTTGCAGAGAAGAACTGCACTGTGGGTTTTCTTGGATGTCATCTTTACAGAAGCAAATCTCCAAGCCTCTCTTACCAGGTGCCTCTGGGTGGGTTGGGACTGCCAATCTTTTGGTTCATAACCTAACCCTTAACCACCATTTAGGCTACCTAGGGATTTGTTTTAATAACAATGACCAGGGAAGACCAAGCCTTCTGTTACTGAGTCAATTTCAACTCATAGGAGCCCCATGTGTTCTAGACCAGAACTGTCCCACTCGGTTTCCAAAGGTGTCATCTTAACCGGAGAAGCTCACCAGGTCTTTTCTCCCACAGAGTGTGACTGGTGGGTTCCAAGAGCTGAGCTTTCTGGGTAGCAGCTGAGTGCTTAACCATTATTCAAATCTTTTAAGAATAATGGTGGTTATTGTTAACTGCCCTCAAGTTGGTTCTGACTCTTAGCATCCCTGTATAGAGTCTCCATGGAGCAGCTGGTGGATTTGAATTGCCAGGCTGGCGGTTCGCAGTCCGGTACTTAGTTACATCAGAATTTTTTTAATGCTAAGATGTTATTTCTTGTTCTTTTTTTCAGGATCATTTCTGCTGGGGTGGAGAGTGGAGTGCTGGAGAGAGGATCAGACTTAATGGACACAGAAGTGAGGAGAATCCACTCACTCCTCGAAAGCCAAAACATTCCAGATTTGCCAAAAGTATAACATAGGGCCACTGTTCTCATTCAGTTTTCCTTTCTAGGAGTGGTTGGAAAATAGGAGTTCTGGTGGCACAGTGGGGTGAGTGTTGGGCTGTTAATCACATGGTCAGCGGTTCTCCTGGGGAGAAAGACAGACGAGGCAGTCTGCCTCTGTAAAGATTGGTAGCCTCAGAACCTTATGGGGCAGTTCTACGGTGCCCTAGAAGGTTATTATGAGTCAGAATTGTTTCAAACGCAATGGATTTGGGGGTTGAAAAACAGTTCACTTTCATAAAATTGAACATGTACTAAGTTTATAATTGCTACTGTAAACGCATGATGAATTCTAACATTAAATATTAATACTAACAAATTATCTTATTAAATATCAATTTGATAACATTTGTAAAAAAGAAATTATCACTCTATTATTAATTTTTGAGCCCTGGTGTGGTACTGCAGGATAAGTACTGGTCTGCTAACCTCAAAGTTGTTGGTTCAAATCTACCAGCTGCTCCTCAGAAGCCCTATAGACAGTCACTATGAATTAGAACAGACTCAACAGCACTTAACAACAACAACACAATTAATATATTTTTGTTGTTGTTAGGTTCCAACTAAAGGTGACTCTATATAGGGAGGGTTGCAGAGGCTGTGAATCTTTTACAGAACAGAAAGCCTCATCTTTCTCCTGAACTGACTAAGCAAATGGATTACTGGAAGGACTCCTAGTGTGGGGCTGTTGGATCAACGCTGGACTGTGCCTCATAAGTTCAGCTGTTCAAACCCACCAGCTGCTCCTTGGAAACTCAATACAGGGTGTCTATGGGTTGGAATCCACTGGACCCCACTTGAACTACAGCTCTGCTATGTAAGTCACTATGAGCCGGAATTGACTCGAAGGCATTAGGTTTGCTTGGTGTCTGAGCGGTACAGAACGGTCCTTGACTGTTAACTGAAAGAGTGGTAATTTGAGTTCAGCCAGAGGTGTCTTGAAAGGAAGCCATTATCTTTCTTCGCCAAAACCAGCCATTGAAAACCCCATGGTTCTACTCTGACTCATGCAGGATCACCAAAAATCGGAGTCTACCCAACAGCACCTGGAACTGGAAAATGAACAATTAGTAGATAAATGTCTGAAACTTTTCTCTATCTTAACTTCCAATATGGTAAATTAGTGGGGGCTTCAAAATGTTCGTGGAAAAACTTCATTATCTTAGAATTCCATGTTTCCTTGAACTTTTTGAAGCCCCACTGAATTTTCACCACGGACAGATGTAATCCACCCAGACACAAGCTCTTTGGAGCATTCAATGATTTATAAGCATGTACAGCTCTGATAGCGTAGTGGTTACGAATCGGGCTGCAAACCTCAGAGACAGCAGTTCAAAACTACCAGCTGCTCCGCGGGAGAAAGATGAGGCTTTCTGCTCCCGTAAAGATTTACAGCCTCGGAAACCCTGTACAGGGTCGCTATGAGTCAGAACTGACTCCACGGCATATAACAACAAACACATAGCAGTCATGACCCCAGACTTTGAGGACTCATTGCTCTAAGGCATTTGGCTCCTGCTGATCCATCCAACATTGTGTGGTTGTTGTTAAGTTCTGGCAGGTTGGTTCCGACTCATAGCGATCCTGTATAGGGTTTCCGAGGCTGTAGCAGTCCAGTGCTTATCCTACAGAACTACATCATTACCTCCCAAACTCACCCTCACTCAGTCTGCTCCAGTTTCCTCACCAGCCTTCCTGGTTTTACCAGCCGGCTACTCTCTCCCACCTCAGGGCCTTTGCATGTGATACCATTCCCTTTACCTACAACTCTGCACGGTGAGCTCCCTCTCCAGCCTGTGGCTTCACTCTGTGCAAAGCAGACAGACACACCCAACTACGAGCCAAACCAAAACTGTGTCACTGACTCAGTGCCAACTCGCGGCGACCCCACACGGTACAGATTAAAACTGTTCCACCGGCTTTCCTTGGCTGTCATCCTCACAGAAGCAGACTGCAGAACCTTTCTTCCCAGGGATCTCTGGGTGGGCTCCAGCTGCCACCTTCAAGTTACGCCACCCAGGGACTCCAACCACCATTACCCACTTGTTTTCTATCGACGCCTTCATTCATCTATTCACTTGTCATTGTTTTCTTTAGCAGTTGCTTTACTTAGTCTAAGGAGCCCTGATAGCACTGCAGGATAAACTTTGGACTGCTAACCACAAGGTCGGTGGTTCAAAGCCATCAGCTGCTCCAAGGAAGAAAGATGAGGCTGTCTGCTCCCATAAAGATTTACAGAATCCTAAGAAGCAGCTCTACTTTGTCCTGTAGGGGTTGCTATATGTCACAATTGACTCAATGGAAGTGGCTTTGGTTTGGGATGAATTACTTAATTTATTCCCCACCCCGCCCCCCATTCAAAATATGAACTCACAGCTTCTGTTGAGAGTCATGAAAAAATCTGGAACAATTATTGGTGATGGTTGAATAATATGATGAACAAAATGCCATTGAATTGTACATGTGAAGACTATTGAAATGGCAAATGTTTTGCTATCTATATATTTGACACAATTTAAAATAAAGTATAAAAAAGGGGAGACATGGCTGAAATAGCAAATGTTTTGTTATATCTATTTCCCCACACACAATATATATATTTATAGACTATACAGTGTCCATTCTGGCAACTTCTGACCACAAATAAGAGGGGGCTTCAGAAAAGTTTCTGGAAAATTCCATTACCTTTTCAATCCACTTTCCATGAACTATTTGAAGTCCCTTACATATCCACAGGAAGGAGCTCTGGTAGCGTAGTGGTTACGAATCGGACTGCAAACCTTAAGGTCAGTGGTTCGAAACTACCAGCCACTCCGCGGGAGAAAGACAAGGCTTTCTACTCCCGTAAAGATTTACACCCTCGGAAACCCTGTACAGGGTCGCTATGGGTCGGAACCGACTCGATGGCACTCAACAACAACATATCCACAGGAGTCCTGGTGTGGCGCTGTAGACGAATGCGTTAGACTGCATAGTCGTTTGAACTGCAAGGTTGGTGGTTCAAGTTCACCAGCTGCTCCTTGGAAACCCTATACAGGGTCGCTATGGGTCAGAATCGACTCGACGGCACTTAACAACAATGACAACATATATCCATAGTGTCCTGGTATGGTGATGTAGGGTAAGTTGTTGTTGTTATGTGCTGTGGAGTCTGGTCTGCTAACTCCAGGGCCAGCAGTTCAGACCCACCAACTTCGTCTTTCTCCCTGAGTCTGTCTCTAAGTCTGATTTGCATGTAAGTCAGAACAGCTA